AAAACCACTCCTTCAACTGACAAGCTGTATCAAGATGAGAGAATTACGTAAGAGGAAAACCCACACCATCTTCATTTCTGCCCTCTTGAATTCATCGGGAGCGGGTCCTCGCCTCCCCCGACACTGAGGGGTGTGAAGCACATTTTCTGAGAAAGCTTCATTCCACGAACGGTCACACCAGCAATCTCGGAAGAGTGTTGAAGTCTGACTGGGGACAGGGGAAGTCACCGAGTGGCTTCTGAGCAGCTGGGCCACTCCTGTGCCCGGCGTGTACCGTGCCACCACCTTGGGCATCACACAGCTCTTCCTGTGCCTCCGAAAACATTCTATGCATCACTGTGCTTTCTCTGAGCAGAAGAAATTCGTGAAAGTAGATCAGTGTGAAAAACCGCATGCCTTTAGAAGCCCATTTTTAGAGCCTGTTAGATTTTATGGAAAATATGACTAAACAAACTCATTTCTGTGGCCCAGGTGGATGCTCTCTGCTTTCATCACAATCACCCCTGGCCAGCTCGAGCCACTGTCCTCTGTCTTTGCTTTCTTTGTCTTTCCTCGGGGAGATCGGGGTTCGATGGAAGCCCCTGGCGAAGGTTCCATGCTGCCGAGCCCTGTGGAGTCCCCGACCCAGGGCTGGAACTGGGGGCCTGACGCTGGGGGATGTGAGAGGCTGCCATCTGACTGGGTGCACACGGGACAGCAGCTGGACAGCCTTGGCCACAAACATGTGGTACATGATTCACCTGCCCCCTCATGGTTTCTTCCCTCGTTTTCCTTTCCTGGGGGAGGGGGAGTTGTGTAAAGAATCAAAAGCATTATATTTTTCCAACTTTAAAGGTCCTAAGCGTTCATTAATTGCAAGAAACAAAAATGGTGACTAAGAGAGATCTTTGAGAAGCTGGCTGGGCGGGTGGTGCACACTGATTTCGCAGCAGGAGCAACGCCAACACAGACTCTACCTGAAAGAGAGAGCGCAACAGATCGTTCTACGCCTTGGAATGGCAACGCAATGAAAACTGTCATGTGCTGATGGCGTTAAGGGTTTCAGTCTTTGCCACTGGCTATTCTGGGACTCACTTAGGGATCACAAGGGTTAATGGCTCCTCGTCAGCTTACAAGGCCCATCCACTGTAAGAGGCGACAGAAAATTAATTAGGTGAGATCAGCCGAAACCCCGTGTTTCTGACTCACTTGATTTTGTGAGAAGCCAACGAGTTGACATATTCTGCCTCCGAAGGAGCCAAAATGAGCAGGCTGCTCCCACGGCAGCCAATCCGGGCGGTTCTCCCAATCCGGTGGATGTATTCAGCAGGTGAAGACGGAGCGTTGTACTAAAAAGGGTAACAAAAATGAAGGCATTCGCAGATCAAGGGACTGCCATTAATTGGAAGTGCAATACCCCTCACCTGCCTCCAGGTATCCCAAGAATTAAATCCTGGTGCTATGGTTACCCTACCACAATCACAAGGAGAAGTCACTCAACCCTGAAACTCCTGGCTTCATTGGAAATAACAAGGCTCCGACACGCCAACAGGAACAGTGGCCAAGTTTCAGATAAACGAGACGTCTTCTCGTCCCAGTATCTCCTATTTAATTTCACTTCTCCACAGGTCTCTTCATTTTCCTATTTGCATCTTTTCACTGAGGTGACTGGGCAAGGTGAGAATGCAGGCAGGTGGGCGCAAACTCGCGCAGGATGGCCGCACAACCTTGGCCTGCTTCCTCAGTAGACAGGGCAGTGGGGCTGAGGCCACGAAAGACGCTGCACAGGGTACGGAGAATCAGGTCTCCACCGCCTCGCTGCAGGCCACCCAGTCCCAACGGAGCAGAGCTGCAGGCCAGTTGAGAGGCACGTTCCCCTTCCTGCAGGGAAACGCCTCCGCTCCCACGGACAGTGTTCCTGGCCCGGCAAAAGGGCCAACGCTCTAACTCAGCAGAACGGATGCTCTCTATGACAATAACGTCATCGTCGTCAACACCAATTGTCCCTGTACTCATTCTGCCCTTTTCTTCTTCGCTGCTACATGCATCAAAGACCAGAGGGCCAAGAATATGATGGGAGGCCAGGCATATTAAACTAATCAATACCCACAATTATAAGAAGGCTCTCAATGATCAATTATATGTGCCTGGCCTCCTGCACATTAAAATCATCCTCGTCTTCCTATTCCAAATCTGCCCCATGGACAGCAGGAAAGAAGACACAATGCCTCTAGTCACAAAGTCCTCATGTGCTGTGAGCAGAGATCCCTAGCCAGTGACAGGCATGCAACTCCACTAAAACGTGAATAAACCGTGACTCACGTAAACAGGGCCCTGTCCCCTGGCCCCCGTACAGAAGGGCTTAAAAATACCACTCTGCAGACTAAGAAAAAACAAAACTAAAGCCACTAGACTAGCGCTAACACCTCTACCCTCTGGCAAAGCATCTAAGGCTAGAGGTATGTGTAAGATGCTGTCAGGGCCTTAATTGCCCCCTGCAGGTCAATGTACATGGACATAGCTCTCAGGACAGCTGAGCCATCGCCTTCTGGACACGATGAGGCCTCCCAGGGGCCCAGGTAATTCCTGTTATTTTCAGCTTGCTGAAAACTCTGTGTGTGACACACATTAGTCTGTGAGCAGGGGAGCCTGCCCCTCCCTCCCACGGCTGTACCGTCTACAGGCTGTGCTGCAGTGGTCAGGTGGGCTGGGTTAAGGAAAGATGCCAGGAGAACTGTGCAGATCGGGCTGGTTGCCGCCTGGTGACCAGGGCAACACCCAAGAGGGTGATGATAATTATTCTACTTAAAGCCAATGCACCTACTCACGATCACACATTCTGGCCTCAAGCTCGCACCTTAACAACTTAAATACATTACCTGGACAATCCACGTGACTTGAGGGAGATCTAAGCCCCGAGCCGCAACATCCTTCAAAACAGAAAAGAATATGGCTTAGGACAGAGTTTCTCAACCTTTTTGGGGTCGTGGATCCATTTGATGATCTAATGCAAACTCTGAGGGCTCACCCCCCAGGAATGTGCACAACTCCAGGAACCCACTGACGTCCACCTGTGGGTAAAATTCCAATTTAGAGGCTAGTTCTACAGACCCCGCAGGTGAGGCAGCCACAGCCCACTTCACTAAAAGAACACCATCTGCATGTAGGCCTGAGAACTAAGTCATTATCAGACAGTCACCAACCAGACAGACAAAAAGTATAACAGCAATGGAGATGTTTTTCTCTCTTCTCTTCAGCTGGTCGCCATCTCAGGAGCAAAGGCTCTGCTCTCTGGTTTCTGGCCATTCTGGCAGAGAGACTAGAAACTGGGAACCTTCCAGTCTTTGGCAATAAAGGTACACCTGGCATTCACCTCCAAGCACAAGTCACACCAAGAGTAGCCCCAGCCAACAGGTACTGAGCGCTCGCTACACACCAGACAGGGTGGAGAGCATTTTACCTGCGTCATCTTGACTCATTGTCAAAATAACACCTCAGGGGCTTCCCTGGTGGCGCAGTGGTTGAGAGTCCGCCTGCCGATGCAGGGGACGCGGGTTCGTGCCCCGGTCCGGGAAGATCCCACATGCTGCGGAGCGGCTGGGCCCGTGAGCCATGGCCGTTGAGCCTGCGCGTCCGAAGCCTGTGCTCCGCAACGGGAGAGGCCACAACAGCGAGAGGCCCACATACCACAAAAAATAAATAAATAAAAATAACGCCTCAGACAACTATTACTCCCATTTGATAGAGAGGAAACCAAGATTCAGAGAGATTAAGTAACTTGTCCAGGGACACACAGCTAAGAAGCAGAGCTAGCCCTGAAATCCAGGTCTGCTTTACTTTTCCAAGACCATATCACAGTATACGGTTCCACTATCAAAAAAGATGCTGTGTCCCTCATATGCTGCTGGTGGGAATGCAAAATAATACAACCCCCTATGGTGGGGAATTTGGTAAATATCCAGCAAAACTACATATGCACTTGCCCTTTGACCCTGAGCAATCTCCCAGCAATCCATCCCTGGCAAAAATTTAAAATCATCTATGCACAAGGCTATTCATTTCAGCACTACTTATTTATTATTTTTTTTAACATCTTTATTGGAGTATAATTGCTTTACAATGGTGTGTTAGTTTCTGCTTTATAACAAAGTGAATCAGTTATACATATACATATGTTCCCATATCTCTTCCCTCTTGCGTCTCCCTCCCTCCCACCCTCCCTATCCCACCCATCTAGGTGGTCACAAACCACCGAGTTCAGCACTATTTATAATTGCAGGTCTGGTAATAACCCCAATGTCTAGCAGGAGACGGGTTGAATAAAACACGGCAATACCTACCCCGTAGAACGGCGTTTTACACAGCTACAAAAGGAATGGAGGTTCCTATGTACTGATGTGGAGAATATCTAGGCTATGTTTTGAGTGTGAATAGTATGCGTTTGTGTAAGAAATGGGGGAAATGCAAATATATCTGCTCATACTTGAAAAAGAAATAATGGAGGGAAAAACCCCAAAGCTTATAAAAAATAGTGACCTATACGGGAAGGAAGAGGATGGGGGGAGGGGATGAGGATGGAAGCTGGACTTCCTTTAATGGGCCCTTATAATTCTGACCCTGAGACCACGTTTCAACATAATTAAAAAGTAAGGGCTTCCCTGGTGGCGCAGTGGTTGAGAGTCCGCCTGCCGATGCAGGGGACACGGGTTCGTGCCCCGGTCCGGGAAGATCCCACATGCCGCGGAGCGGCTGGGCGCGTGAGCCATCCCGCTGGGCCTGCGCGTCCGGAGCCTGTGCTCCGCAACGGGAGAGGCCACAGCAGTGAGAGGCCCGCGTACCGCAAAAAAAAAAAAAAAAAAAGTAAGATAACCAGCTGTCATGCAGTAGGAAAGACAGAATATCACCTCTGACATATTCTTGCCAAAACAAAAACAAAACCCTAGCAATGGAATCTAACAAGTGCCTAGACCTACTGCAGGGCGACAGGGACAAGGTAAACAGCACCACAGGGACGCAATGTGAAGTGTCCCGAAGGACAAATGGTCTCTCTTCCACCAAAAAATCCAGGAAGAAAGAGAGGGTAACAATAACAGAAGACATTAAGTAGACAGAGGGATTAATGGATAAATGCACAGATGGATCGATAAGCAGAGAACCAACACCTGGAAGGAGGTTCACCGAAACTGTCAAGTGTGGTTATCTCGAGGTAAGGGGATTTGGGGCAATTTTTACTTTTCTCTTCGCAGTTTCCTGCGTTGTTTGCTTTGTTTTTCTTTTGACGACGAATGCATATTATTCCCCCCTCCCCACAACCCTGCATTTTTATTTAGAAAAATTTAAACCTACAGAAAAGCTGTTAGAATAGTACAGTGAGCACTTGTCAGTCCTTCATCTTGATTCACCAATTGCTAAACACTGGCACAGCCGCTCTTTTCCTCTCTGTACACATGTGTTTTTCTCAACCACCTGAAAGGAACTTGCAAGTATCATGACATTTTGCCCCTAAATACTTCAGCACATGTCTTCTAAGTAAAAGGACATTCTTCTACATAAATCACAATACCATTACCACACCTAAGAACTTCACACGAAATAAGTTTATTTTATAATAATCAGTCCACGTTCAAATTTCACCACTTGTACCTAAGACGATTTTTATAGTTGTTTTCCTTTCTTAACCCAGGACTGAAGCCTAGATCACTGCATTCTATTTTTATTAGAGCCCTCTAGACTTCCTTAACGTAGAACTGCATCCCCACCCTTAACATTTACTTCTTTTTATTTATTTTTTGGATAACAATCCTTTTTTGAAGAGTCCAGGTGTCTTGAGGAACATCCCAGAATCTGGACTTTTCTGTCTCCTCATAGTAAGATTCAGGGGGAGCGTTCTGGCAGAACGACATCAGGGTGGGGTGTACCGCCCAGCACGTGACCTCAGGATACAGGCAGGGTGTCTGTCCTGTGCTGGGGACGCTGTGCTCGGTCGCTGGAGCAGGTGGCACACACCATCTCACTCCCTTGTGACGGTACCTTTCTCCTTTGCAATGAGTGAGTAACCTCAGGAGGGAAACTTTGAGACTGTTTCCCAGAACATTTTGCCCAGTGGTTTTAGTATCATTTGATGCTACTTGTCTGTATCAGTTGTTACCCTGATGTCTACAAAATGATGGCTTTCTAAGCCTATCGTTCCTTCCATTTCTATAACTGGCATTCTTCTGTAAAGGACGGCTCTTCCTCCTCTCTCCTCGCTTTTCAGTATCACTAAGAATTTATAGGTATATAAGGTTTTTTAAAAAATAATAATCCTGGGCTTCCCTGGTGGCGCAGTGGTTGAGAGTCCGCCTGCCGATGCAGGGGACACGGGTTCGTGCCCCGGTCCGGGAAGATCCCACGTGCCGCGGAGCGGCTGGGCCCGTGAGCCACGGCCGCTGAGCCTGCGCGTCCGGAGCCTGTGCTCCGCAACGGGAGAGGCCACAGCAGTGAGAGGCCCGCGTACCGCACACAAAAAAATAAATTAAAAAAAAAAAAAATCCTATGCAAAGTTCTGTAGGAAGCACATTAAAACAATCGCACTCTCATCCTCCAGGGTCAGGGGCAGGATTCAAGGAAGACACTGTCCCACCGTCACCTAAGTCACCCAGAAGACCACTGCAGGCAGGTCAGGGCTGGTCTGCCTTCGCTCTGATTAAATCCCACCTGGGATTTGTGGGTCTCCTTTGAACGGCGGCCAGAGGCTGCATTTATAAATGTTAAGTAGACATTTCATGTATTAGAAGTGTGTCAACCACCCAGGAAGTGTTTTCTGACAGCTCCCAGGTGCCCTGAAAGCTGAAGGCGGACGTTCCAGAGCCGATGCCTTTGAGAACACAATTTAGAGCGTTCTCTGCACTAACCACAGTCACTGTCTTTAGAAAAACTGATGGGTTCTTAAATCTGCGAAGCTCTTGTTAAGAAATGACTCACTTCATTTAAGTGCTCTGCACTGGGAGAGGTACACAATGGGCTGTCTGAGCTTTACAGATAAGCTTTGTAAAAAATTTAATGCTCGTCGGTTTAGTAAATCCAACTAAGAAACACAGATGAATCTCAAAACTAGCATACAGTGTTAGGAAAGCCACGCCGGGTACAAACATGCTGAGACAGAGTTAGGAGGCACGGCAGCCACCGCCATCAGGACTGCTCACGGTTCTTTCCTACTCGGGCTGGGCAATCGGCTCAGGACACCAGGCTGACAACCTTCCCACCGCCCACTACTTCTGGCGTTGGGGTGGGGGCACCTCACAGCCAGCCACTGCTCGGACTTCACCAGCCATTTCCTTAAGCACTCCCTTACGGTCTCAGCCGAGGCTACGCTGAGAGTGGATCAATCTTGCCGGTGCAGGAACAGGGAGAACCGGACTCTAGGACCACTTTAGCAGCCACCAATCCGGGCAAGTCACCTCTGCTTTTTCTGAGCCTCAGTTTACCCACCTATAAAATGGCTACAATTTACTTATCTCCCAAGGTTGCTGTGAAGAGACAGTGGATGTGCAAAGTGTCTTGAGAATCGTAAATCTGAGTGTTCCAGTTCGCGATGAAATAAGAGCTAGACGGAGGCAATGAGGTGGGGATTTAAAAGCCTCTCGGCTCTCTTCCCCCCTCACACCCCATCCACCCGACCCGGGCAGAGGACCACAGAGGAAGGGGACATGGCTCCATCTTCCTGGATGCTGTCAGCCAGCAGCACCAGAGCCACAGGAAACTGACCTGCCCAAGACTCAGGAAAGCCTTCGGTTCTCCGCCCACCCTTAGAACTTAGATCCAACCCAACTGTATTCCCTTAACCTAATTAGGGCGAAAGAATCGCTAAAGTCAATTCTGAAAGACACTCACCAGTCAGGCCTTCAAGTCCGCGGGCCTGACAATTGGCCGCCTCCATGAGACCAAGGGGTACAGATGGAAGGCAGCTTGCTCAGGTGCCAGCCTGTCAGTTGGATTAAAATGACTCATTTATTTACCCGAGAACCTCACAAAGTGCTTTTACTAACAGGGAGAGGGGGCCTGCGGCTCTCCGAGCAAGGGACGCAGCAAATTCGCCTCTGCTGCCTTCCCGTCCTGCCAAAGTCATTACTGCGGCGTGTGGAAAGCCATCAGCGGGGCACAGGCCCCCGTCGTCCGGGTGACAGATTGGGCTGCGTAATCAGAGGGGGAAGGAGACAGCGCAGAAGCTGTCAGAGGCGCGAGATCTTGGCTGGAGCCGCCAAAAAGCTGGCAGCATGAGTTAGCGTAACTGAGTCAATAGCCAACCATCTCCAAATGGCCTTGCCATTAACACGAATGAAATACGAGCGGAAAAGGTAAACTTCGCCTAAAAAGCATGCCCCAGAGGAAACCGAGAAAGTCTCCATTTCTTCAGGGGTGCTGAAGGGACATCCTTGGGATGCTTACAGCCCCCCTCCTTTGTCTCCTGGCCGCCTGGCACAGCGAAATTTCCCAGGAGGAGAGGAAATTAAGAACCGCAAAGACCTAACGGAGTGTTTCGAGCAAAAAAAAAAAAGAGAGAGAGAGAGAGAGAGAGAGAGAGAGAGAAAAGGTGGCGGACAGCAGCACAGGTGCTTTAGGTATCTTCTGAAAAAGGAGGCATGTGTGGACAAGCACAAAGCATTCCAAGGGATACTCAGCCAGCGGATGCAGGTGGAGGCGGAAGTGCCTCTCCTTGCTGGGAAAAGGCCAAGGCACTGGGTACATACATCCAGGAACAACCAGGGAGGGCCACGCATCAGCCCTAAAACTAGAGGGAGCTTGGAAACACCACATTCCAGTCACTTGGTGGGGTTTCTCCTTCCCAACCCCTCAACTTAACAGTGGTATTGAAAAAACCTCTGGCTTAGGGTGAGTGCTTCACTATAAGCCGGAGGAGATACTCTGCTTCTTTGGGTTTCTTAACTCCATTGAGGAAAGTGGGCTTTGAACTTCCAAATGACTCCTTCCTCCTTCCTGCTAATACTTGCTCCCTCCTTAACTTGGGTTCTTCTTAGATCCAGTTTTCTAGAGGACACAAACTTGCATTTCAAATATGTAAGGACTTCTCTTTCCCAGACTGGTCTCTCCTCCCTGACCATCTTCTCACCTCTGCCCAGACTCTGGACTCATCGCGGTCACACGTGTACTGAGAACCCACATTATACAGCCATGTACCAGGTCCCGCAAGATTGCGTGAAGTTAAGAAGATCCTTGCTTTTAAGATGTTTAAGATGAAAGGAAACACAGACACACACACACACACACACACACACACACACAGAGACACACCTTTAACTTTCTTCACAACAGAAAAGATATAAGGAGGAAAATGGGGTCGAGGGAGGGATTTTCTAGAAGTAAAGGAAACAGCAGAACTGTGAGCCTTTGTGTGGTTACACCGCAATTCCCAACTTCTCACACAAGACAGTCAGTCTTCTGGCCTCATTAAAATGATCTCAGGATGATAAATCAAAATGGCAAAAGATACGGTGCAAAGGGGGAAAGTCCCCACGCAACCATTCACAAGTGCTTCCCCTTTATCCAAAGAAGCGGGTCCGCCATCCGCCTTGTCCTGCTGTGGCCCCGCTGCTCATTAACACCCAGGAGGTTCCCGGAGAGCTTTCAGAGCCCGGCAAGTAACAGGCTGCTGAAAAGGACGCAGTGACAACATCTCCCCAACCCAGGCCCCACCTATCACAGCCAAAGCATCCCAGACACCCCAAGTTTCCACCTATAGCAAACAAACACAGCAGAAGTAGAAGGAAGACTGGGCAGGAAAGAAGAACTTCTCCCCACTGGGGACTCTGGGTTTGTACCCTGGCTTAGAAATGGAGAGGCATGAGCTCCCACCCAGCTCTTTTCCAGTCATTTCCTAAAGTAGAAGAAAGAAAAGATGAGACTGGCTGAGGCTCTGCATGCTGGACGTGGCCTGGGCGAGCAAGAGAACACGCACCAAGGGGCTTACAGAAATCAGATTATGGCAAGTGAGAGCCTGCTTTCCACGTGGCACGCGGGCCTGGCAGCGGGCAGAGGTGCCAAGCCAATGGTGCTCCTCATCTAGCTGACATCACCTGCCTGCAGGCAGCAGCCAACAGGACAAGGAAAATCATCTTGTGCTTTTGACCCCACCGAGAACCACGTTTCAGAAAATGATCTTTCCTTCCGGAGAGCTACTAAAGAAAACCCCAAAACAAAACAAAAAACTGAACTTCAAATACCTGGAGTTTTCTCTGAGACTTAGAGCTCACCCATGTCTGTGAAAAACAGGACAGCGTTTGCACACTAGGAGACTCAATAATTTCCCACCAGGGACAAATCCAGCATCTCAAGGGTCAAAAATAAAGCATTTTGTTCTGGTCCTAATTCCAACACACAGGTTCCTACTGCCTTCTGTTGTTTTTTTTTTTTTTTTGCGGTACGCGGGCCTCTCACTTTTGTGGCCCCTCCCGTTGCGGAGCACAGGCTCCGGACGCACAGGCTCAGCGACCATGGCTCACGGGGCCAGCCGCTCTGCGGCATGTGGGATCTTCCCGGACCGGGGCACGAACCCGTGTCCCCTGCGTCGGCAGGCGGACTCTCAAGCACTGCGCCACCAGGGAAGCCCTGCCTTCTGTTTCAATACAGATGATCTGTAACATTCACTCTTCAGATAACACCATATATATGAAAAAGTAAACTTATTCCCAGTGAGCACTTTTTTTTCATGTCACAAGCAATTCTTTATTGGAATGTTTGAGAGAATCCCATAGGTAAAACTAAATTCTTTATTTTATTGATTTTTTTTTTTACAAAGAAGTTTTTAAAATTTTATTTATTCATTTTCTTTAAAGATTTATTATTATTATTATTATTATTTTTCAGTATGCAGGCTTCTCACTGCTGTGGCCTCTCCCGTTGCGGAGCACAGGCTCCGGATGCACAGGCTCAGCTGCCATGGCTCACGGGCCCAGCCGCTCTGCGGCATGTGGGATCTTCCCGGACCGGGCCACGAACCTGTGTCCCCTGCATCGGCAGGCAGGCTCCCAACCACTGCGCCACCAGGGAAGCCCTATTATTATTATTTTTTAAAATTTATTTTGGCTGCATCAGGTCTTAGTTGCAGCACACGGGCTCTTCGTTGTGGTGGGCAGGCTTCTCTCTAGTTGTGGCGTGAGGATTTTTCTCTTCTCTAGTTGTGCTGCGCGGGCTCCAGGGCACGTGGGCTCTGCAGCTTGCAGAACGCGGGCTGTCGTCCAGGCGCACGAGCTCAGTAGTTGCGGCGCACGGGCTTAGCTTCCCCGCGGCGTGTGGGATCTTAGTTCCCTGACCAGGGATCGAACCCGCGTCCCCTGCTGTAAAGCGGATTCTTTACTACCGGACCACCAGGGAATTCCTATTTTATTTATTTTTTATTTTTTTATTTCTTATGGAAGTATAGTTGATTTACAATGTTGTGTTAGTTTCTGGTGTACAGCAAAGTGATTCAGTTTATATATGTATATATATATACATGTGTATCTATACATACACACATTTTTTTTTTTTAATTTACTTATTTATTTTTGGCTGTGTTGGGTCTTTGTTGCTGCTTGCGGGCTTTTTCTAGGTGTGGCGAGCGGGGGCTACTCTTCGTTGCGGTGCGCGGGCTTCTCGTTGCGGTGGCTTCTCTTGCTGTGGAGCACGGGCTCTAGGCATGTGGGCTTCAGTAGTTGTGGCTCGCAAGCTCTACAGTGCAGGCTCAGTAGTTGTGGCGCGCGGGCTTAGTTGCTCCACGGCATGTGGGATCTTCCCGGACAAGGGGTCGAACCCATGTCCCCTGCATTGGCAGGCAGACTCTTTTTTTTTTTTGGGCAGGCAGATTCTTAACCACTGCGCCACCAGGGAAGCCCCATATTCTTTTTCATATTCTTTTCCATTTTGGTTTATTATAGGAAACTGAATATAGTCCCTCGTGCTATACAGTAGGACCTTGTTGTTTACCTATTTTATATATAGTAGTTTGTATCTGCTAATCCCGAACTCCTAATTTACCCCTCCCCCATTCCCTTTCCCCTTTGGTAACCGTAAGTTTGTTTTATATGTGTGTGAGTCTGTTTGTGTTTTGTAAATAAGTTCATTTGTTATCAGTTTTTTAAGATCCCACATATAGGTGATATCCTGTGTCTGTCTTTCTCTGTGTGGCTTACTTCACTCGGTGTGATCATCTCTGGGCCCATGCGTGTCGCTGCCAATGGCGCTATTTCATGCTCTGTTGTGGCTGAGTGCTGCTCCCCCATGAGCGAGCATGTTAACCTCAGGCTCAGTCTTTAGAAGAAGGCGCGCACCAGTGATTCTCAGCATGGAGGTTCTCGAGCCCCAGCTGTCCACCTACGTAACCCACGAACACCGGGCGCCTGCCGCTCTGTGCTGGACGCTGGGACGGGAAACACAGTCCCTGTCCTCGTGAGCTTGCAGTCTGGCGGGAAGACGCCTAGACCAGTTGTGAGGAGCATCATAAAGAAATGCAGGGCCCACTGGGAGTGCCTCGTGGGGAAGAACTGGGGCTTCTGTTTCCTGAAAAACCGCCACTGAAGCTGAGGCCTACGAAGGAGTTAGTTTAAGTCAGCGTGGTGTGTCCCAGGCCGAGGGAGCTCATGTACCAGGGCCCCAAGGCCAGAAAAAGTAAGAATGACACATTCAATTGAAAGAGGGCCCTGTTTGGCTGAAGGACAGGCAGCAAGAGGGAAAGTGGAGACAGAGGAAACAGGAAGGGGTCAGGCTCCAGAAGTGTCAAGAGACAGAGGATTTTTGACAAAGTTCTTTATCAAGTAGATTACTTGGACTCATCTTCGCTTTAGACCAGGCAGGTGAAGACAGTTTTAGAGCAAACACAAGCATCTGACTTGATGGGCTTCATAAAGAGAAGGGCTACTTGGTCAGACTCAGATCTCCTTCTGAGGCAAGCATTCCAGGAGCAACCACTCTCAGATCTGAAGGACCAGAGCCGGCGGAACCACTGTTTGCCACACACGTGAGAATCCGCAGGTCACCGGGCAGGCCGTCTTGTAGATGATCATGCATATATACACACACGAGAAACAAAGCTGCACTCGCTCACAAACTCTCAATTTAGAAAGAAAACAATCTCCATTACCTTTAAAACTAAATACAGAACAGGAGTTCCTTAAAAAGTAATTGTATTAAACGAGGCCTAGACAGGCGTTCACGTAGCTAAACGTCGTTGCTTCTACCTAGCCCTTGTTCACAGGATTATTACCAACTTGATGGTGCAATTTCATTACCGTATATATAGGGATTTCTCAAGTAACCAGTTGGGGATTAAGTTACATCTTCCAAGATGGCACAAACAGGGAAGGCATTTTAATCTTGGGAGCCAGCAGCAACTCTGGTGAAGTGAGTCCCCAGAGAAGCAGGGACGTTGAAGGTGTGAGTTTTCAATCTCAAAAGATCACAAGAGACGTGCACGACAAAGGTCACCGCGGTGCTGGAGGAGGTGGCTACCCACGACTGCAAAGACTGAGGCCGAGTGAGCGGCCCTGAAAACTGCAGGGCAGATGACAGCTCTGGACACCAGCACATAGACTCTGTCCAAGCGCATCTACTTTCCTTGAAGAGAAGGTGAGCAGAGGCAAGCAGAGTGATTTTGTTGTGAAAAGACTTTCTCAGCTCTAATTACTCCCGATAGCTGTAATTTACAAGTTCTTGGTGGAGAGAAATCGCCAAGATTCACACGTTTTCAGACAACAGCTGCCACTATTAGTGAGCAAATCGCCAAGTCTTCCGCGCGGTGGCAGCCCGCTATCTGCGGCAGTAAGGTGGCAAACCAGGAGTGCAAAGAGACCAGCCACACCAAGAGGCCCCCGGAATTCCTGTTCCCTGTCGGGGGGGCCCGGTGACCCCAAGGCAAATCGTCAGGAGACGAAAACCTGCCACCACCATCACAACAATTGTCAACCTTCCCACGGAGCGCAGAATGATACATACCGTGCAAAGAAGAACCCCTGTTTTGGAATGTGAGAATTCTTGAAACACTGCTGTTCTTTCCTGCAAAAACAAGGAAAAATAGGGCCTTTATAACTCTGAGATCGAGTCCAGCAAGGTAGGCTTAGATTCTCATAACTCTCCCAATTTTCTACTGCTATAACTATTTTTAGGCACAGAGAGAGAGGTTTTGCCAAGAAAGAGGAAGAAGTGGATTCTTCACATCTTGCAACAAGACCCTATACCTACACGACCAGGCTTCTTGGACTGTGGCAGAGCAACAAGCTTTGAGGGCAGCACGTTTCATTAAGACAATGCGGGGGTGGGAGGGGGGAGGCGGCCACGCCCTCCAGAAACGGCCAACACCCAGAGCAAGGAGGGCCAAAGGCCAAAGTTCCTGCACTCAGGGTTCCCAACTCAGAATTTACTCTAACACCTCTTCTACAGGTGGTCTAGAGGCTGAACAACAACCAACCTTTCCTATGGGGCAATTTTCTTAAAAACTGATTTCTAAAAAGACTTTCAAATTGTGAAAACCATATATTTTAACTGTAGAAAAATTATACTTCAAGTCAAAGGAAGGAAATTAAATCATCCTATCACTCAAAACAAAGCACCACCACTGGCAACACCTCGAAGCTTCCTGAGCCCCCTTCTAGGCGAAACATAACCAAATATGTGGCTTAAAAACTGGCATCATGGTTCTTACACTCCTAACATGCTCTTATTATATATCAACTGAATGTGGACATCTTTTCATGCCAATAAACAGCCCCAAACCGCCTCATCTCCCGTGACTACACCGTATTCAGCTGAATGGGAGCCCCGCCTCCACGTGACCAGCGCCCCACTCCTGACACAGCTGAGGTTGTCTGCACTGCTCACCACCACAGACAACGCTGCGATAAACAGGTCTGTAGGTAAGTCACCGTGCTCATGCTTAACTATCCCCTTGGGGTAAGCCCCTAAAGGCAGACTTGCTGGACCAAAAGGCCTTGGGCATGAACTTGCAGGGGCCACAGTGGGGGTGTGTTTAAGTCACAGTGTTGCCAGCAGTTAAGACTTGGCCATGTCCATCTGTCAGCAACAGTAACAAAAAGGAAATATACCCAAATCACTGAAGATTTGGAAAAAAGAAGGAAGTGAAGTCTCTCTTTCCGCTCTGACACCAAGGTATACCTCATTCTGGCCTTTCGCGGGTACACGTTCCATCACGTGGCTGGACCCCAGGCTGCACCTCACTGAGCACAGTGGACATGACAACCGGCACGTAGGGTGTGTACCAGGTACCAGATGCTGGCCTGCACTTTACACGTCTGAACGTATCCGATCCTCAAAGCAACCCAGTGAGCAGGTACTGTCACCACCCTCACTTCCAGAGGAAGAAACCGAGGCACAGAGAGGTTAAGTAACTTGCCCAAGGCATGTGCATACACTGTTAATACAGGACTGAACTGAGATCTGAACCCAGGGAATTTATGGCTGCACTGTAGAGTCAAAATCAGAAAAAAATCAGGAAAGTTCATAAAAGCCCGTGAAACTAACCTTAAAAGTCCAGACATACTGTACTGAGATCTGGGGTAAGAAACACAACTACCAAAGTCCTGAGCGTCCATCACAGCTATCATGCAGCAACTTCTTCAAACAGTAGCTCCTCTCTGATGCTCTTATACCTGGTTAGGGTCACGTTGGTCACTTCGGGAGACCACACTAAGGTCAGGTGGAGCAGGGGGCAGGGTAACAAGCCAGGAGGACGTGATGGGGACGGTTTTAGCTTAGTCCCCTGGGACAAGACACTGCACCAATATTTAGAAAACGAAATACAGAGATCCTCCCTGCCACCTTCTACCCATCTCACAGGGAGGGTGTGAAGGCTAAACACTTAATAAACAAGACAAGTAAACTACTGACAATTATTAAACGATGAAAAAAACGACACTTTTCCTGAAAGAGAAATAACAGCAGTAACGGCACCTGACGTTTACCCAGCGCTCACTCTGCACCAGGCCTCGTAGTAAGTACCTGATCTGCATTAACTCAGTGAATCATCACAACGACGCCAAGAAGTACGTACTACTGTTCCCTCCACCCAGAGGCACGGACACTGAGGCACAGAGAGGTTCAATGCTCTCCTGAGGTCACACAGCCAGTGAATGGCAGAGTCAGCACCAGAGCGCAAGCAGTCTGCCCCCCCAGAGCACACGGCTGTAAACACCCTACCCAGATACCACCCTGTTACAATGAGAGATGCACGGTCTGAAATAACCTAACTGCAGAATCTTCTGTTGACACAGTCAAACCCCTAGATCCTTCTGAGTCCACATCCAGTTCCTTCATCATCCTCACACCTACCCTGCATGATGGCTCTGCAGAAAACAGACCTGGAATATTGATAAAATCAGTTTAAAAGAAAAACAAACCCATAAATGGCATTACATTATGAAATCAACAAACTTGATTGAATTGGGGATCCTGAAGGTAAAAATTAAGAGCTTACAGGACTAAAGCTGGAATATTCAGGAAATTCTGTATAGTCTTGTGTTAAATAAGAAGCTGTGGGCTTCCCTGGTGGCGCAGTGGTTAAGAATCCACCTCCCAATGCAGGGGACACAGGTTCGAGACCTGGTCCAGGAAGATCCCACATGCTGCAGAGCAACTAAGCCCATGTGCCACAACTACTGAGCCTGCGCTCTAGAGCCCGCGAGCCACAACTACTGAAGCCCGCACGCCTTAGAGCCCGTGCTCCGCAACAAGAGATGCCACCGCAATGAGAAGCCCGCACACCGCAAGGAAGAGTAGCCCCTGCTCGCCGCAACTAGAGAAAGCCCGCGCGCAGCAACGAAGACCCATCGCAGCCAAAAATAAATAGATAAAATAAATTTATATTAAAAAAAAGAAGCTGTGTCCTTGAGTAACCTTGAGCAACTTCACTTTTCTAAACCTCCGTTTCCTTAATTATTAAAACAAAAAAAAGCAAAAACGAAGAGGGGCTGGACTTGATGACCTTTAATGCCTCCTTTAGCTCTAAAAATGTCCTGATTTTTAAAAGGTGGTTCTAGTCAAACCTTATTCCAATTTCTGGTTTTCTTTCAAGCTTTCTAATTTTCTAAGCTGCCTGGTAACCTCTGCTCTAGGACAAGATGGCTCCCGTTTCCAAGCCCTGCTTGTCCTTCCTGCCACAATTCCAGAGAGTTCATCTCATTCTACACCCCGCTCGACTCCCTAAATGGATGGCCTGCCTACCAGCAGTGGAATGAGGGTGAACGTAGCTAAGTACCTAAGGTGAGGAAAATGTTCCACTATTCTTCCTGATCAAAAATATTCGCCAGTGCTGAGCCCCTGCAGCCCCTCTGGAACCCAGCGTCCTCTCCCAACCCAAGCGTTCCGAGTGAAAGCGCTGCATCTTGTTGACAATGACAGCAGTCACGCTCAGCAGTACCATATGGGAGCCACAATTTAGCTCCATTAATGCTCTTAATTTGAAGACATCAAGCCCTAATTACACACTGGGTACTAAAAAGGCAAAACCCTCCCCTGGTGCCAGCTACTTAGTGGTACTCTGTTGCCTTAACAGCTGGTTGGGGTACAGTCAGGCCAAGTTGGGCCCACGAGCTCTCTCGGGTGGAAGAGACCAGCTCCCGGAGCAAAGCAAACAGGAACAATAGGCTCCCCTTCGCCCCATCGACACAGCTGCGTCACCCGCTTTGGCCTCTGGTGGGTCTCCCACTTTAGCCACGTTTTTCCCTGGCCCAGCGGGGTCCCTAGGGAAGCCAGGGCCAACCCAGGAGGACAGGCTCACCTCCTGCTCCAGGTCGCCGTGCAGCCGCAGGAATTTTAACCGCGTGGAGGCACATGGCAACGCACCTGGGGCCAGGGCCCCTGAGCCGCTCAGCAGGGTCTGGAGGAAGAGGTTGTAGTGGAAGTCCACCAGCTCGCAACTCGAGAAAAAGATGATCAACTTCTGGTCTCTCTCAAACTACATCGATACAAGGGGGGAAAAACCACCACGTGTTTTTAAGATCAGGTGACACTTGAAATGAATCTCTTTCTAAAACACATGGGCAGGCTAGCCCCGATCTGGAAACAGAGGCGACAGATGGCTTTGAATTATTTTTAAAAATAACACAGATCCTCCACACTACAAAGAAATGTAGGACAGGAAAATGACATGGCTGCAACCTCGAACAGGCCTCTTGTATCTGAGAAAAACAATTATGCTCCAGAGCAAAGCTGCCCTTAGCTGTGTCCCTCTCCCTCACTCGGTCCCGCCATGCACGGCACTCCCCGGCGGGGACTCTGCACACGCAGTCTTGAAGCTGCACCCTCAAGCCCTTCCACCTACTATCTCCCCATATACCAGAGAAAGTTATCATGTGAATCTAGTAAATATACAAACACGATGATTCTTTCAAAAACACGAGCACAGGCTACTGTATTGCCTCACATCCATCGTGTGTGTACCACCTGCGACACTGCCGGTATCAGTCCCAGGAAAGGTATTTGAGGCAGATCTTAAGTTGAACATAATGGCCATCAGTGACCTCGGACTCTTCACCGCAATCCTAGAACCACTGACTGAGAAGATCTCTGCTAAGGTCTGCGCTTGCACCACAGCTCAGTTTGGAAACTTCTGTGTGTGTCTCAGCTCACTGCCTCAATGCCCAACATGAACAAAACTGTGGTCTTTCCCCGGATCAGGCTGGACCCAGTCCCCAGACCTACCTTGCATTTCTGCAGGATGAAGCCCGCTAGGGAGACAAGCCTCAGTTTGCTGGGAACCACTGTCACGTACTGCTCGAGACTCGCTGGTATGGCAAAGCTGTCCAGCTCATCGCTAGCTTGTGGAGAAGCTTCAGGAATGGCTTTGCTCTTTGGGTTCGACTGGTCATGGCTTTCATCCAGGACAGAAATACTGACTGGGTCATGTAAACTGATATCAGCTAGCCACGTTACACCTTGGAGAAAACGTGAAAAGGACAAAACAACTGACAGGCACACGCTGTAGAACTGGTCACACCCGCACAGCCCCCACACCACACATCCAGGCCTATTGAGAAGCTCCTGATGGGTGTGTCCCCAAATGCCAGCACTGATTGGCCCCACTGTCAGTCCAGTGGGGACCCACCTATTTCTTCCCACGGCCCAAAAACCCATCCACACCACCGGAGTTTCTAAACTCTGACCCGTGGAAGACCACTGAAACAGATGTCTGCCCACCATCCCCCAGAAAGGGTTCTGTGGTCAAGTAAGTTATGAAAACCCTGATAAAAAGCTTTCCCGGGATTCTTTCCCAGGGTTTCCCGGGTTTACAGGCCTTCTCAGGACCTTTATTGTATAAATGTGCACATGAATCTCCAAGAGGGGGAGGTAACGAGTGGCATTTCCCCAACTTTTTGAGCGCAGAATCCCCTTTCCATGGATTATCTCTTTCTTTTTTTAATATTTATTTATTTTATTTATTTTATTTTTGGCCGCGTCAGGTCTTAGCTGCAGCACGCGGGCTCTCTAGTTGTGGTGCGCAGGCTCCGTAGCCGTGGCGCTTGGGCTCCAGAGCATGTGGGCTCTGTAGTTTGCGGGCACGCACAGGCTCTCTAGTTGAGGCACCTGGGCTCAGTAGTTGAGGCACGCGGGCTTAGCTTCCCCGCAGCATGTGGGATCTTGGTTCCCCGACCAGGGATCAAACCCGCGTCCCCTGCATTGCAAGGAGGATTCTTAACCACTGGACCACCAGGGAAGTCCCATGGATTCTCTCTTAAAGTCACTGTTAGTTAGGATACACTCTGAGAACTGCTGGTGAGTCACGTGCATGGCATCTGGTACGTGTGCACCAGAGCAGGCTAGTGAACCGAGTAAAGTGAGAGCTGAATTGTCGCTCAGGCAGGGATTCACGCGCAGGGGGTCCTGGTGGAGACTGATACAACTTCTCCAAGCCTAGGTGTTCCCGTCAACAAAAGAGCTAAGAAATTCCATCTTAACGATGATGGAAAGACACAAATGAGCTTACAGAATATATTTTTAGGATTTCTCTTTAGGAGAAAGGCAGGGTGATTATACCAAAAAATGAGCGGGGATAGGTTACCACCTTCAGGACAAGAGCCCTGCTCTCAGCGGCTGGCAAGCGCGATCACAACCTCACGAGACCACCAGGTGCGTGGCAGGCAGCGTCCTCCCCTCCCTCCACACCCTGACGGGAGCACAGCAGCCTCCCCTTCCTGTGAGGGCTCTGGGCCTGGGACCTGCCCCTTCTCCCTTTCCCCACGTGCTGGGGACCAGGGAGTCAGGATGATGGGAGAGGGAGGCCGGGAGCACAGGACACATGGTTTGAAGAGCAGTCCTCTCGGACACCTTCCTCCTCGCCCGATCCCCACCGAGGCTAAGAATCGCTGCTGGGAGACAACGCAGCTTGCATCTAGGCCCTTCCACTCCATTGAGAAGAAACAGCACTTCTTCTCAACTCACCTTCCGTGAGTGTTGCCGACAGCAAGACGTTCTGTCGTTCCTGGCACTCGGCATTTATAGCGTTGAGTATCACTGTGATGTCCTTTTCAAAACCCAAATCCAGGATTCTGTGGTTTCAAGGGAGGAGTTTTAATCTACGTGAATAAAGGGAACACTAAGGGGCTCCAGAAGTTTCGGCAAAGACCACAGAAACAGCCCTTTCCTGCTTCCTGGAAGGGCTCACCTGTCTGCTTCATCCAAAATCAGCCACTGGATCTGACGAAAATGAATGTTCTTTGTGGATTTAATATGATCCACGAGGCGCCCGGGAGTTGCGATGAGGATATTTATTCCCTTCCGGAGTCTGTTTAAAATTATATATCATAAAAGAAAGTAAATCAGATGGAGCCATAGCAATAGAAAACACGGGGGAAAGGCTGGGGAGGAGACAGAGTCAAGGCCAGCGCCAACACGCCACAGCTTGAAATCATGACAAACGTAATGACAAGTGGATACAAAGATATATTTAAGTTCTAATTTTTCCCTGAAGTTTCTCTGTCTTACAAAACGTAACTGTTAAGATCTGAAATCCTATTAAAATTGTCTCAGAGGAATCTTTACTATATAACCCAATGCCCTTTATCTGATCCATAGATGCTTCCTAGAATATTCCAGATAGATGGTCACCTAATCTGTTCTTGAAGGCATCTGTGCCGGGGAACCTCCCACCTGAATGCATTATCCCATGCTAACGTGCTTTAATGGTTAGAATGCTTTTTTCTTATACTGGATCCTTGTTGTAACTTCCATGCCATAGGCCTAGCCTTGCCCCACGGACCAGGTGGAATAAATCTAACTTCTTACTCCACAACCATCCTTCATCCCATTAGTCCATAGTAATAAAAGCCTACAACTTTTAGCTGAGTACATTTTCCAGCTGCCCTTGTAATTAAGTGGGCACGTGCCTATGTTATGGCAATAAGATAAATGGATAAAGGGAGCATGCAAATCCCACCAGTACCTTTAAAAAGAGGAGGTGTGATTATCTTTGTTCCTACCGGCAGGAAATCAGATATAATGGCTGGAGCTCCAACAACTATCTAACACTATGAGGAAAGCCTGAAAATGGAAGCTTCACTCAGCGGCACAAAAAGCCAGAATGAGCCGGGGTCCCCACGTTGGCGCGTGCACCATGCCAGCCCCGACGACTACCGTCACGCTTCTTAAATGTGAAAGAAAAAGAAAAAACTTCCATATTGTTTGCGCCACTGCTGTTGTTAGTTACAGCAGAATCTTACCCTAACCAGTACCCGAAGGTTTCAAGTCGAATATTTGCTCCTCAGTTACAGACTACACACATAGTTGAGCATAACCACTAAGCATTAAGCTATAATAAAATAAAAACGTTTTTAAAAGAATGCACAAAATTTGGAATTTACTTCTTGCAACAATTTTCTACTGACACCCATTAGCAATTCTAACACAGAATTAGGAATCAATGCATTTGGGTGAAGGAAGCAAGATGCAAAGCATTATGTAGGTTTATAATCTTGTTTCTGTAAAATCAAACAACAAAAATCCCAAACTCCCAATATCCACAAAAGGGAGTCAAGGGGGATGTATCCTTAACAAGGGGGGACCGTGGGTCTCGGGGGCCGGGGCGGGGTTGAGATTTGGGAAGGTAACGAGCTGTTACTGCCCACATCAAAAGGGAGCCCCTGGTAGTTTCACCAAATATTTTTACAAATAGCACCGTTTAGAGGGACCGCTCCCTGGGCACTCAATCTGTCCCCACACACTGGGACTAGGAACCCTCATCTGAGACAGGGCTCTCCCCAGGCTGAGAAGGGCCAGAGTCTTACTGAAGAGGAAGACAGAACAGACTTGAAAAGGAATTAACAATAAACAAACCTCGCCCTACCTGGCTTTTTCTGATTTTCTCTTCTCTCCTCCCATTAACACTCCGGGCACAATCCAGGTAAATGGCTACAGAAAGACATCAGACCAAAATCAATGCAAGGCCCCATTTACTGCAGAGGCTGATTCCAAATTCCCTTTCCTGAAGTAAGTCGTGAGGGAGGACTCGGCTTTTCATTGCAGGAGGTATTAGTGTGCAGACGCAATTCCTAGGCCTTGCCACCAGGCCCATGGATATTAGCGGTAACTTAAATCATACCTATGCGACTAGCTTCCGACACTGTAAGAGAGAAATGTGGGCTTTTTAAGTGATTCAGGTAGCTTCTCTGCCTTTCCCTGTACAGCGTGAATTGAAAACACAATTCAGTAAGTCTATTGCCTTTTTTTTTTTCCTTTTTGGTTAAGATCAAACCCAAGTACAACGCTTCCTTACTCCCACTCGTGATAAAAGAAAGGAGAGATCAATTCTCAATCTAATTCGGTGGGCTGGCAGCCTTTGGCTTGGAAGCTTTCTCTCTCTTCTTTCTTAAACAAACCCTATTTGCAGCTTGTTAAGTTGCTTTCACGGGATCACCTTAAGGTTGTACCTGTGAGTCTCTGTAGGTGGCTTGCTAGTGACGATGATGAACAGATTACAGGACCCGAAGTACCAGTGAACACTAATAGTCTCACTAAACTAGAAACTGGTGATTCGTAAGGTTCAGATCAATAAAAACCTGCAAACTGTATCTGGGGTGAGCAGAGACATCCAGGGAATACAAGGAAAACCGCAGTAATTCCTAGCTCTTTGAAAATAAAGAAAAGACCGGTATCTTTCTCTTTCCTCAAAAAGTCAGGAAAAAAAAGACAAAACTGAACTCATGGCTTGCCTTACCTTAAGCAGTTTCTGGACAGTATCAAAGCTTTGTAGGGCCAGCTGTAAATGTTAAAAAGTTAGAGTTAATGAGCGAGGTCCCTTCTCACCTTTTAACTTATTTTTAAAAACTTAGACAGTGTAAAGTGATAAGGATCCAACCCTGGACCTCAAGTTAGGATTTTAAAAAAAAAAGCCCTATACACAGAATCTACTTGGGAAATACACCTTGTTCTTAGACTGATTCTGAAAACCGTCAGTCTGGAGAACGTGGCTAGAGACATCACATCTATTTCTCGGACATACACAAACACAGTGCTCTGTGCTCCCTCTGCTGGCTCAAATTCCCAGAGTACCACACAGAAAAGTACAGTCTATGGTACACAAAGATGGAAGAAAATGAAACAGAGTCAACCTGTTTGGAAAGAGAGAGAATGTAATATGTGTGAAGGGGTAAACCAAACAGTGACGCAACAGGCTAGCCTTGGGAACGTTACTTTACAGGTGACGTGACTATATCCTAAGGCTGTGCTGGGGCAGAGCAGTAGCTAAAGACAGAGATGGTCATTTCCCAAGTTTATTAAAGGGGGAAAATAATAAAAAACCAACAAGCCCAGTGGAAACCAGAGAAAGAGAAAATTAATGTATTGAATGGTTTATAACCATTAACAACCATCAATCAACAAAGCCTCTACATAATCCCTTTATCCAAGGATATATATATACAGTTTCCACACGTTTTGTATTCAGGAAGCATCCCAGGGAAGTAGCAAGTTTGCTGCTGTAAAATTTTAAATAGCTCTGTGCCTGCTCCTTCAATGGATGGAGCTGAGACAGGATGCTGCAGGCTGTACAGAAACCTCCATTGTCATGATCGATTCTCTGCAAGGAAGTGATTAGCATTTGATATAGGAAACAGATACCCTAATCTGAAATTGCCTCTGAAGGCAAATAAAATAAATCGGATAGAAGAGATTTCCACCAAGAAAGAAGAAAAACATCAAGAAGCTTAACTTTCAGAAACAGGTAAAATTTTTGGTATAGTAGCTTCTTAAAAAACTAAAAGTTCATTTGTAGGGTCAACTGCTTTTATTTTTTAATTAAGTTGTAAAAGAAAACAACAGTGTACAAAAATGTGATTATTTTAATTCCTTTTATAAGGACAGAAATTTATAGTGTCATTAGTCTTTAGATAACAGAGAAACACTTTTCCAAAACCAAAAAAACTTCTGGTTTTCAAAGAGTACTTGAATTTTTCTTCTTGTCAGGAACCAGAAGGATGGTTCCTGGGCAAAGGAAAGGGTGTCGTGATTTGTGCTGCAGGGAGAAAAATGGTAAAACCACTTTTAAATTCAACGATATCACTGAAAGTACTTGCTTAGCACTCCGAAAGTGGGACTGCTTACCTCTCTTGTTGGCACTAGTATCAGAGCATAGGGGCCGTCACCACGCTGTTGACACAGAAGGAAAGAAATGCCATGAGTTGAATGAACGCAGGTCACAGGGGTCCAGAAGGGGAGATTAAGAGAGGCCACTTGTAAACATCAGGAGCAGTTCATTAAAGAGATAAGCCTGCCCACTACCCTCATGATTACACGACATTAATCTAGAAGTTCTGGCCCACGCAATCAGAAAAGACAAAGAAATATATATGAATCTGGAAAGTAGGAAGTAAAGTTGCCGTTATTAGCAGGTGATATTTTATCCTAAAAAAAAAAACCAAAGAAAACAAAAACAACTTAAGAAATCGGGACTTGAGGACTTCCCTGGTGGTGCAGTGGTTAAGAATCCGCCTGCCAATGCAGGGGACACGGGTCTGATCTCTGGTCCAGGAAGATCCCACATGCCGCGGAGCAACTAAGCCCATGTGCCACAACTACTGAGCCTGCGCTCTAGAGCCCGTGAGCCACAACTACTGAGCCCACGTGCCACAACTACTGAGCCCGCGTGCCTAGAGCCCATGCTCCGCAACAAGAGAAGCCACCGCAGTGAGAAGCCCGCGCACCGCGACGAAGAGTAGCCCCCCGCTCGCCAAAACTAGAGAAAGCCTGTGCGTAGCAACAAAGACCCAATGCAGACAAAAATAAATTAATTAAATAAATTAAAAAAAAAGAAATCACTTGAAAATCTACTACAAAAAAGACAAGGCAACTAGCTGAATACAAAATTAATACAGAAAAATCAACAGCCTTCCAACACAGAAAGTTAGATGGAATCACACTTAGAATAGCAAAAAAGGTTAAGAAAAATAAGCTTCACAAAAAATGTACAAAATCTATACAATAAAAAATTTTAAATACCTCTAAGGCACATAAAATAAAATCTGAATAAATGGAACAATGTATCCTATTCTTGGATAAGAAGACTTAATATTATAAATAAGCTAATTCCCCCAAATCAATCCATAAATGTTATGTAATTCTAATGAAAATGCCATGAACATGCATATTTATGCATATATAAAGTATCTAAAACATGCCACAAGTATACATACATACGCACATAAAAAATAATATATATAACCAGACAAGCTGATTTCAAAGTTCATATGGAAAAATAAATGTGCAAGAATAATCAAGACATTACTGAACAACATCAGATGATAAGACAATTTAAATCTACAGTAGTTTTAAAAAATTGATGCTAGCACATAGAGATTACAATAACAAATACAGCCTAGAATAGAATCAAACACATACAGAAAGTCAGGAAATATGATGAGGCAATTTATATCAGCAGTGAAAAGATGGATAATTCAAATGTCCTTTTAGAAAAAAAATTAAGTTAGAAAAATAAAGTTGGAATTAAGCTGGCCTTTTTACGGATGACATAAAACTCAGAAACTATAAAACTCTGATAAATTTTATTACATAAAAATGTTTAAATTTCAGAATGGAAAAGTAATACCTAAAGAAAATTAGTCAAATGACAACGTGGGGAAAAAAAATATGCCACACATAAGAGAAAGGGCCAATTTCTTAGTTTATAAAGAAAGTTTGTAATTCAATTAAAAATAAAAATAAAGAAGACCAACAACTCAAATAGAAAAATGGAGAGGGATATAACAGCTAATTTATGGAAATAAGAATTCAAAATATGGCTTTTAAATGTACGAAAAGATGTTCAACTTTACTCCTAAGAGAAATTCAAATCAAAACTACGATACAATATATTTCCCCTGCCAAATGAGCAAAAATAAAACAGCCGATAGGGTTGATAAAGGCACAGGCACACAGGAACTCTTATACACTGTCGGTGGGAATCCAAATTGGTGTAACTCCTTTAAAGATCAATTTTGGTATTATCTACCAAATAAAAATGCAAACTCCACTTATAGGAATTTCTCAAAAAGAGAGACTCACACGTGTGTGTAAAGAAGTTGTTTAATTGCTTTGTTTGTAGCAAAATGTTGAACACAATGTAAATTCCACCAACGAGGGAATGACAATAATTTATGGAACAAACTTACAGTGGAAGACTAGGCAGCCATTAAAAAAACAAGGCGGGTCAACACGGTATTGATAAGAAACCATCCCCAAAACATATTAAGTGAACAAAAGCAAGGCACAGACAATCATGCACAGCAAGCAACCATTTGTGTATCAAACAAACAAAAACTTCAACGAAAG